ATTTTTAGTAGAGACGGGGTCTCCGCTCTTGCTCAGGCTGGTTTCGAACTCCTGAGGTCAAACGATCCACCCGCCTCGGCCTCCCAGAGTGCTAGGATTACAGGCATGAGCCACCGCGCCTGGCCTGAGCCCTTGAACTTTTGATGTCCCCTCTGCCATTACCCAGGCCCCACCCGTGTTGTCTGAGCATGTCTGCCCTGGGTCTCTGCCAACTAGCCCTTGCCAACTAGCCTTGCTTCACACCTGCCCTCCCTCCCTGTTGATCAATAGGATCCATTTTAAATGCAAGTTAAAATGCAGGTTTTTTTTTTTTTTCTTTCTTTCCATTGATAAGTTTGTAGCGATCACCTGATAGTGACCTGAGGCCTCCTAGCTGCTCAGGATTGTAATCGCTTAGCATTAACCTCAGCAAACAGTTTAAGGAGGCACGTACTTAGGCAGCACGCCCTATGGCTGTGAGGCGCAGTGCAGCTCTCCATAAAAACGCCAGGGTAGGGCCAGAATTCTTGACTGGAGGCAACCCTGGCTTCTACCACTTTGTGTCATCATTACAACTGTGCAGGTAGCTGGCTGAGGACTTTAGAATCTACCTGTGTACTTTTCTTACCTACGTGCAGTTTTCACTGTATGAAAACTTTTAAGTTTTGGGCACTGGTAAGAGTGGACTGTACAGTGAAGGGTATGGTGAAGAGGAAAAATAGAGAAAAAATGGTATTCTTAATGTGGATTATCATTTTTGGAATAGGTTACGAACATATGTTGAAGATAAACGTTTACTCCTTTCAAAAAAGTAAAAATGTGGCCTCACTAGTTAGAAAGCAACAAGAAGAGAGAAGCGATAGATCAGGAAGGCGGTGACTCAAAGGGAGAAGGAATCTGTGTATAAAGCCATTAGGTCGTGTTTGCAAGGACTTTTCGGGTTGACTGAGATACTAATCAGGTCAGATCACAAGAGCAGGCTGGGTTCAGGTTGTAAAGCCACCGGAGGCTTCTTTTTAGTTAAGGTCCCTTGCCTTGGATCTGGGACACAGAAAGTGATAAAAACCCAATTAGGATTATCAGGTACTCTGGAAGCAAGGTGGCAACAAGGTGGCAGGCAGACTTTTGTTACAGGGAAATCTAGATAGGGTTTGGGTATTTTTCTTTATAAAAAGAAGATGATGTTAATCCAAGGAGCGTAACACATAGGACCAGAAAGCTTCTGACCGTAGGAAAAGATTAATGTTTACTTGAAGGCAGTTGTTACTTCTAGGGAGTTGCCTAAACCCAACATACTGTATTAATTAGATGTTGGGTACTTTGAGGTTAATCTGGTGCTGAGATCTTATATTTTCTTTATTTTTTAAGCCTTACTCTATATTTTTTGTTTTATCTTAGAGTAAGGGCGATGTTCCTTATTGGGGTTAGAATTAAAGTTTCATTCTTTCTTTCTTTCTCTTCCTTCCTTCCTTCCTCTTTCTTCTTTCTTTCTTTTCCTTTGATACACCGTGCTTCGGCTGGATGGCGTGCCTTGGTTATACCTGTCGAATCACTTGGTTTATGACTCGTGAATACTAAGGGCCTGCATCTTCCTGAGGAAGATAGTTAGAATCTTAGCAAAAAACTAAGCCGTTCTTAGGCAATGTGAATCACAAATTTTAATCCTATCACAAGGAAGGCAAACTTTCTATACTCACACTTCTAAAATTGTTATTGTATTTATAAGCTGTGGCCCCCTGTCTTGCGTGGGTGCGGGTGATCGATCTTTCTTGGGTACTTCAGCTCTAGTTGTTACCTTTGTCAGTGGGAAGCATTTGATTCTCTTAATGAGTCTTGAGCGAAGGTTAGAAAGTGTCCTCAGCGGCTGAATGAACCTCAAATGGGGATGGAAATAGAAGCGATGGCTGGTGTTGGAATTAGGATATTTTGGATTCCGAAGACATGGGGAATGGCTGAAGAAGTGGGCGTTTTTTTGTTTGTTTTTTTGAGACAGGTTCTCGCTCTGTCACCCAGGCTGAAGTGCAGATCATAGGTCACTGTAACCTCAAACTGAGACTCCTGGCAGCGATCCTCCTGCCTCCTGCCGCAGTCTCCCAGAGTGTTGGGATTACGTAAAGGCGTGAGCCACCGCGTCCGACTGGTTTAAGAAGTTTTTAAAGTAAAGGTGCGAAGTCCATACATTACAGTTGGCCCTAGGTATCTGCGGAGGATTGGTTCTAGGATTCCCTGGGACACCAAAATCCCATGGGTACTCAAGTCTCCCTTATAAAACGCTGTAGTATTTGCATATAACCTATGCACATCCTCCCATATACTTTAATTATCTTTAGGTTACTTACTTTTTTTTTTTTAAACTTCTTTATTTTATTTATTTATTTTTTTTGAGACAGAATCTCACTGTGTTGCCCGGGCTAGAGTGCCATGGCGTCATCCTAGCTCACAGCAACCTCAAACTCCTGGGCTCAAGCGATCCTCCTGCCTCAGCCTCCCGAGTAGCTGGGACTACAGGCATGCGCCACCATGCCCGGCTAATTTTTTCTATATATTTTTAGCTGTCTGATTAATTTCTTTCTATTTTTTTTGGTAGAGACGGGGTCTTGCTCTTGCTCAGGCTGGTCTTGAACTCCTGAGCTCAAATAATCCGCCCACCTCGGCCTCCCAGAGTGCTAGGATTACAGGCGTGAGCCACCGCGCCCGGCCAGTTTTCTAGTATTTTTGAGACTTTTTGCATCTCTACTCAGAGAGATTAGCCTATACCCTAGTATGGTATATACTGCATCATTATCTAGTATATATAGTGTGCATATGTGCGTATATGTATGCAAATATTGTTACCTAGTGTTTGCGATCTCATTTATCTGGACTGTCAGTTTACTGTTGCTTTTCTCTCTACAGAAAGACGAAAACTCTCCAGATGTCTTCTAGTAATGTCGAAGTTTTTATCCCAGTGTCACAAAGTGACACCAATGGCCTACCCAGGTCAACCTCCAACGACCTGAAGACAATCAGTGAAGGAGCGGTATTAAGTTTTCATAACATCTGCTATCGAGTAAAAGTGAAGAGTGGCTTTCTATGTGGTCGAAAAACAGTTGAAAAAGACATACTGTCAAATATCAGGTATGTGCATGAACTTTTTAAAAGATAGCTTTATTAACCTACAGTGAACTTCACACGTTTTTCCTATGACCAGTAAAGCTGCTATGATCGTTTGTGTACAAGTCTTTGTACACACTTTAATTTTTTTGGCTAAACTAGGAATGAAGTGATTGGATCACATGTTAGGTATATGTTTAACTCTCAAAGGAACTGCCAGAAAGTTTTTAAAAATGGCTGTACCATGCGCATCAACTTTTGCTCGAGAAAATAATTAACGTGTCATTTAGTTTTTCGTGAGTGAGTCTTGTGGTTTGGTGGAAAGAGGCCTGGCGGTATATGATTTACTGCTTTTTGATCATATTTTTGGTCCCGTATACTGCTTTTTGATATAATCGTAGTCTCCGAGCTTCGGTTTTCTAATCTGTGAATGGAAGACCCGCTGATGTGCTTTCCGAGGCAGACACCTTATTAGATACTCGTGCGCTTTATGTTCTAGGAGCAAGGAGGTTGAAATGGCAATATATTGTGAAAATACTTTGCTTTTCGAATAGACTTGTTTTAAATGTTTAAATTTACTTAATGCTTTCCCTCTACTAGGCAGAAAATATTTCACTATAGGATAACTAGAATTTAGCTTAAAAAGTCATGCAGTTGAAGTCCAAAGTGATGAGAATTTCGGATCCAAATCAGTACATTTAATTATATGTTAAATGCCCCTAGTAACTTGATTTTCATTCTCTTCATCCAGCATTGGATTTATCATGTGGTGGAGGGAGTGAGGGGGGCGGGGAAGGAGCATCTCTATAGAACCTGCTCCTCCCAGCGATCTCTGTTATTTCACAGATGCTAGCCGTTGGGATTGTTAAATGTTTTTCTGAGTTCTAGAGACCCGAACCAAATTCATCCCCTCTGTGGTTCGGGGAGGGAATTTGGGTTTGCTCAGACGGCATGGCCTATGTGTTTTGGTTATTCGTTTAATGAGGAAAATGCTTCCTCCTGGACAAAGCTAGCAACTTTTTCTGACTCTGCAAGGCTGGAGGAGTGGTTATATGAAGAGCCCTTTGGCCCAGTGTGGCTGCAAACCTTTATGGAATCAGGTGTTTCTCGTATTTTCTTGCTGTTTTGTATGGGACTGTCACCTTTTCTGTTCGTAGCAGCCAACCTCTTTTGGAGGACCAGGAAATTACAAGAGAGGAGAGGAAATTTGGGGGGTGGGTGGGAGCGAAACATGGGGATCTGAGACTTGACTGAGCTGAGGCTAGGAGCTGTGCAGGACTAGAACCTTCTGCGTACAGCAACACCTGCTGTCATACCTACTTCCTTGTCGCTTTCTCGTATAGCAGCGGTCCCTAACATTTTTGTCACCAGGGACCGGTTTCATGGAAGACAATTTTTCTATGGACTTGGGGGTATGGGAGTGTGGTGCATTGTGGGGGTGGAAGGTGGGGTGGGATCAGGCGGTGATGTGCGGCCGGACTGGTACCACTGCCTGGGGGGGTTGGGGACTGCAGTAGGTTAAGAAACCCTGACTAAAAGATAAGGAAAGGAATGATGATGCAAAGCTTTCATCTTTTGCTTACATTCCTAGATAGAATTGACTGACTCTTTTTTTTTTTCTGAGACAGAGTATCACTTTGTCACCTGGCTCATCCCCCGGGCTAGAGTGTAGTGGCGTCAGCCTAGCTCACAGCAACCTCAAATTCCTGGGCTCAAGTGATCCTCCTGCCTCGGCCTCCCGAGTAGCTGGGACTACAGGCACTCACCATCACGCCCGGCTAATTTTTTTCTATTTTTATTAGTGACAGGGTCTCGCTCTTGCTTAGGCTGGTCTCGAACTCCTGACCTCAAGCGATCCTCCCGCCTCGGCCTCCCAGAGTGCTAGCATTACAGGTGTGAGCCGCCGCGCCCGGCCTTGATTGACTTTTTTTGAAAAAGCTCACAAGCTTTTTGTGAAAGATAATAATTGAGAAAATATTGGTCACATCAGATTTTTGTGCTGAGAGAGTTGGAAGGTAACAAACGATGTGACTATGTGCAGGTTGAATGTATTTAAAATGCGTACTGGGTCAGGGGACATTTATCTTGCTTATCTTTTAAAGCTGGTAAATTAGTAACTTGGTACACTATAAGTCTCATCTGCTCAAGGCTTCACATTGTTGTTTATGGTCAGATGGTATGCATTTCAGCAGTGGATGAGTTCATCCTTACGTGCATTCTCGGGCTCATAAAAACACAGTTAAATCGGCCGGGCGTGGTGGCTCCCGCCTGTAATCCTAGCTCTCTGGGAGGCCGAGGCGGGAGGATCATTTGAGCTCAGGAGTTCAAGACCAGCCTGAGCAAGAGCGAGACCCCGTTTCTACTAAAAATGGAAAGAAATTAATCAGACAACTAAAATTAGCCGGGCATGGTGGCGCATGCCTGTAGGGAGGCTGAGGCAGGAGGATCGCTTGAGCCCAGGAGTTTGAGGTTGCTGTGAGCTAGGCTGACGGCATGCCATGGCACTCTAGTCGGGGCAACAAAGTAAGACTCTGTCTCAAAAAAAAAAAACACAGTTAAATCTTGCAGTTCTTTCAGGTTTTACTGTTGAAAGGACACCGAGGACTGGTGTTGTCGCTTATTTACATTTCTGGTTTAGATATCCATTAGAAAAATCATCCCTTTTTTGGCTGAAGTTCTTGCAGTCTTTCTCCTGTCTGCTGTCTTCAACTAAGTACAGTTTCTGGGGTAGGGGAAGGGTCTCTCTCATTTATATTCTTTTTGATAGCCACCATCACCATTCGGATAGTTAAGTATATTCGAAAAGAGCTGATGAGATCTTGCTTTTTATTTTTCCTTTGGACTTTTTGCAATCTCACTTCTAGTAACTAAGTAACTATCACCTGATGTCCTTTATGGGGGTGGGGAGGAAGATAAAACAAAATCTGACCGTGAGAATTCAGAAAGGTATGATTCCGCCACCTTAGGAAAAATCTTCCTCTTATGATTCCTTTGTCTCCATACCCAGCATTTGTGGTTTTCCTCATCGATGCTGAAGGTCTCCGGAAAAAAATGTCCATTCCAGTAGATGTGTGGATATCCTGTAATCTTCAGGGAAATTCGTTATACTGATTGGGGAGTTTTTAGTTCCTAATTTATTTCGAAATGATTCTAGATTTAAACCTTGCAGAAACATAACCCTTTTCCAGCCAGATGCCCCAACTGTTAATATGTCACTGCAGTTGCTCCCATCGCTTTGTCTTTTTTGTTCCCGTTGTCATTAGTGTTTTTCCTGGAATGTTAGAGGGTGGGCTGTCCGCATGGTGCTTCCTTAGTCCTACCTGCTCTGGTGTGTGGTTTCCAGAAATAAGGACCCTCTGCTGTATAACCACGCAGTTGTCGCTGGGAGAAGCCGAGGGGAAATGCAGCCTCAGAATGAGAACAACGGCCGGTCCTCAGGGGCGGCTGGTCAGCCTCACTCCTGATGTAGCTGGCCGACCACAGCATCGCGTCCTTTCTGTCTCCTCTAGCCTGGGATATTCTTGTCCCATCTCACACCAGGTGATGTTAAAATTGATCCCCCGATCGTGTTGGTGTCCGTCAAACTTCACCGTAATGTCACCATTTCCCCGTTTGTAACTGATCAGTATTATAAGGGGAGACAAACTGGCATCATTCCAGAATCCTGTTCCACATTAAACGCACCAGCTTCAGCCTCCACCGATGCCTGCTGCCCGAATCACCCACCGCCATGTGATGGCTGCCACAGGGTGATTTTCTGTTTTCATCAGCTCTTAGTTTGCATTCTGCTAAAAGGAAACAGCTTCCTCCCTCATCAGCAGTGGGTTCGCATTTTACTCAGTAGCATTCAACAGCAATGCATTATTATTTATCTTGATACTCCTACTATTTCTGAGTGGATCAGTGGGAGACCTTGCAAAGAAGCTGCCTCCTTCTCTTCCTTCCTTCCTCATTATTTTGACGTATCTCCTCATTCTTTGAGTATTTCCTTGGCATAACAAGAAGTTCCAGAACTCACTGTTTACTCACCCTGCCTCAGACCTGGAAGCAGCAGTTTGTTTTCACGGAGGGTGGCATTTACAAAACCAAAATCTGGGTGATTAGAATGTTCATTGCTATTGGGATGTCACTGCTTCTAGACTTTCTCAGTGGACAGACCTAATGAATATATAGATGCCTATGTGTACGCACACGTGTGCATCCCATACATGTGTAACTGTTTTTTGGGGGGGGACAGGATCTTGCTCTGTCACCTGGGCTGGAGTACAGTGGTGTCATCATAGTTCACTGCAGCCTCTACTCCTGGGCTCGAGTGATCCTCCCACCTCAACCTCATGAGCAGCTGCTACTACAGGCATGTGCCACCCCATCCCCCACCTGCCAAGTTTTCTATTTTTTTTGTAGGGATGGGGTCTTACTGTGTTTTGCAGGCTGGTCTCGGAGGCCTTGGTTCAAGTGATCCTCTTGTCTCAGCCTCCAAAAGCACCGGGATTACAGGTGTGAGCTGTCATACCTGCCCCCCCTTTAATATATATATATACATATATATATTTTTTTTTTTTTTATTTTTTGAGACAGAGTCTCACTCTGTTGCCCGGGCTAGAGTGCTGTGGTGTCAGCCTAGCTCACGGCAACCTCCAACTCCCGGGCTCAAGCGATCCTCCTGCCTCAGCCTCCCGAGTAGCTAGGACTACAGGTATGCGCCACCATGCCTGACTAATTTTTTCTATATAGATTTTTAGTTGTCCAGCTAATTTCTTTGTATTTTTAGTAGAGATGGGGTCTCACTCTTGCTCAGGCTGGTCTCGTACTCCTGACCTTGAGCGATCCTCCTGCCTCGGCCTCCCAGAGTGCTAGAATTGCAGGCGTGAGCCACCATGCCCAGCCTGATACATATATTTTTTGAGACAGGGTCTAGCGTTATTGCCCATGCTATAGTACAGTGGCATCATCATACCTCAGTGCAACCTCAAACTCCTAGGCTCAGGTGAGTCTTCTTCCTTAGCCTCCTGTGTAGCTGGGGCTACAGGTGTACTCCACCATGCCTGGTTAATATTTTTATTTATTTTGTAGAGACAGGACTTACTGCGTTGCTCAGGCTGATCTCGAACTCCTGGGTTCAAGTGAGCCTCCCACCTTGTCCTCTCAAAGTGCTAGGATTACAGGCATGAGCCACTGTGCCCCGCCACGTATAACTTTTTTAAATGGCCTCACACACAGACCTGGCCAGAAGGAGCAAGAGGAGTGGTGGGCGGCCGCTCCATAGCACGCTGGGCGCTTTCTCTGTCTTTCTATAGCTGTCTGTATGTGTAGGTTAAAACCCATGACGTCTCACTAATACCTCCAATTCCATTCTAACACCCTAGGATTCTTTCCACATTTCCATGTTTATGGAATCTTCTGAAAAAGTGGAAAATCTGGCTCACATAATCCCTAATATATTTACTGATCTGTTCAATTTTCTTATTCCCCGGTATAAGCAATCACCCCATTCTCCGTGCTCTCCCCTCCCTCCCATCCCCCTTGACAGCTTGTGTTTCTGGGTGCTGGCGTTGCTGCACCTTTACCCAGAATTTTCATCATCCCCCTACTAAGAAAGGAAGGGCACGGGGAAGTCTAATAGAAATGATCAACGTATTATTTGAACATGTAATAACAAGTAGGGAATGTTACTAAGCTTTCTTTCCAGACAGAATATGTCTATTTCCAGGAAGTTATTCCCTACTTCATGACTTCTGTTTTTTATTAGAAACTTTTTTGTCTTCTTAGAAGTAATTCTCACTTATAAACATGTAAAGATTCATTTATTCACCAAATTTTGAAGGCCTGCTAGGGGTAGAGCATTGCACAAGATGTTATGGACACAGGTGAGTCCTCTGTTCTCAGGAACCTTGTAGCCTAATGGGGGATTCAGAAAACTGGAGCACGTTCACTGTTGTTCTACTGGAAGGATTAGAAGACACGATAGAATTCCCAACCCTAAATTGGAGGACCTAAATTGGAGCATGGAGATTGAGAAAGTGAAGATCGTGCGTGCGTGTGTGTGTGTGTGTGTGTGTGTGTGTGTGTGTGTGTGTTGGGCGGTGACGATGGAGGGGGCCGTGACCTCTCTTGTCCATAGACAAAACAAGGCCAAGGGATTGACCATTATCCACTAAAATGTAATAGACGAGACTCACATCCTTTGGGTAAGTTTCATTCTACCAGTTCAGTATTCATTATTCAGTGGTTGTAGATCACTGTGCTGCATGTTATGGGCGGGGGGAGGGTGCAGGAGGTAGAAATAATATGTCATAATTTTTGTTGGCAGGTCTTTGTTGGTGCAGTGAGGGACACAAATGCGGTGAAGTAGTAAATAAGGGTGGGGAATGAGGCTTAAGGGGTGATAGAAGGGTGGAGGGAAAAGGTGGGGAGACCAGTGAAGTGTAGATCATAGACTAGAACAGGTGTCTGCAGACTCTTTCCATAAAGGGCCATAGAGTAAATATTTTCAGCTTTATGAGCCGTACATCTGTGTGGCAGCTACTCAACTATGGTGTTGCACGAAAGCGGCCATCAGCAATACGTCAGCAAACGAACATGACTCTTCTAATAAGCCTTTGTTTATGGAAAGAAAAAACAGGTGACCAGTATAGCGTGCTGATCCCTGGACCAGAATGTAAACTCCACGAGGGCCTGGACTTTGTTTTTTGTGTGTCTGTTTGGTTTGTTTTCAGCTCTATCCCATGTCCTACAACAATATTTTGTGCGTACATAGTAGACATTCGATAATTGTGTTGAGTGAATGGAGTTGGAATTAGCCACTGCTCCAAATTGAAACTCTTGGAGTGTGTTTAGTGCCAAAGAAGCCAACTGTTTGTCTTAGAGTGTTCCTATTCAGGTTTGGGTTAATCATTCAGTATTGCTTGGTCTTTATTTGTTTTTTGTTTTTTGTTTTTTTTTTGAGACAGAGTCTGGCTCTGTTGTGCCGGCTAGAGTGCCGTGGTGTCAGCCTAGCTCACAGCAACCTCAAACTCCTGGGCTCGAGCGATCCTCCTTCCTCAGCCTCCCGAGTGGCTGGGACTACAGGCATGCGCCACCATGCCCGGCTAATTTTTTCTATATATTTTTAGTTGTCCAGATAATTTCTTTCTATTTTTAGCAGAGACGGGGTCTCGCTCTTGCTCAGGCTGGTTTCGAACTCCTGAGCTCAAACAATCTGCCCGCCTCGGCCTCCCAGAGAGCTACCATTACAGGCGTGAGCCACCGCGCCCGGCCAGTAAAAGGAATTTAGCAAGACCTGAGCCATTTTTCTTAAAGGTCCTGACTAGTGCTTAACATCCTTTGTGTATTACACTTCTATTAATCTTTTATCTGTAATTTCATCAATTTTTCATTGACTGTATTCAATGCAGAGCCTAAATTTTTTTTTTTATTTGTAGCAAGAAGGTTACATCTATGAACAGATCCTAAATTAATAGAACCCAATTTAAAGCAGAATAATAAATCAGTGTATTTTTGTGTTACAGTGGGATCATGAAACCTGGCCTCAATGCCATTCTGGGACCCACAGGTGGAGGCAAATCTTCGTGAGTATGAGAGAGAGTATATGTAAGCTTTTTCTGTGTGGTTTTAGTGTGCTTTTCAAAATCACTTTTTGGTGCACAGGTATTTGTTGAGCATTTGCTGTGCATGTCTGGTCTAGTTCCAGGCACTGTGGGTGACATGCGGTTGTGCTAACTTGTGGTTATGTCTCAAGGACCAGGAAGTGGTGTTAAGTCAGCTTCACTAATAGGGCATGACACGGTGATTAGCATATAGTGGTTGACCATGTTATGAGATAATGGGGAGGAAAAGAAAGAGGATGATAAAAGTGGAGAGATGGAGCAGAAGGTATGAGTGAAGGCATGAGTCCTGGATGAAAGAGCACTTTGCCCTTGTTGGGACCACCAAGGTCAGACAGCTGGGCGGGCCATGTGGAAGGTCTGTGCTAGATTAGCTTATGGTGTCTTTTGCTTGGGGCCTCTCTTGTAGCATATATCAAAAAAGGAAGGTGGGAACTTAAAAATATATCCAATTTTAGTTAAACTGTAGAATTTCTTGACTGGCTAATTTTCTAACTTGATCAGAATTCAGATTCAGAGTAGCAGAGAGATATGGCCAGTGTTGGAGGAAAAAGCCCCCACAACATGTATTTCCTTTTATAGGTTATTAGATGTCTTAGCTGCAAGGAAAGATCCACATGGATTATTTGGAGATGTTTTGATAAATGGAGCTCCTCGACCTGCCAATTTCAAATGTAATTCAGGTTATGTGGTACAAGTAAGTATTAGTGGGCTTTCGTTTTTGGTTTCCTCTGTTTCTGTACAGGCATGTGCTTTGGCTGGTAGTTCAGTGTGCTTCTAATTGATTGTGTGACATGCTCGTAGAACCACATTTCTTAACACCAGTTTTTCACAGTCTCCCGTAAGATTCAGGGTCGTTTTAAGTGAAAAGGCAGGAAGGATCTGGAATATGACCCTAGTAAGGGCAATGCTCGTTTTTATACGATTTCTGAAAGATACTACTGTTATCCTTTTTTGTCCCTCCCTCACCTTTTTCCCCCTAACTTAGAAAGATGTTTTTGGCAAATCCTTGTATAAAGCAGTCTGGAAATGTCTTCTGGTGGTCATCATAATTACCTGCCTTCTATTTGGGTGTACGGATAGGGGATGGAGGTGATTCCATGAGCCTTTGCAGCTGTCTGTGTATGGAATTTTTGCCACTTGCAGTTTGAAAGTTCATCATTCACTAGAACTTTATCTTAGCTGTGTTATTTATGTGGATTAAGTTACATATAAGAAAGGGTGACGGTTTTAGGAAAGACTTGGTATGTCTTGTTAAAATGCCATTTTGCCTTAAGGATGACATCGTGATGGGCACTCTGACGGTGAGAGAAAATTTACAGTTCTCGGCAGCTCTGCGACTTCCAACAACTATGCCGAATCATGAAAAAAATGAACGGATTAACAAGGTCATTCAAGAATTAGGTCTGAATAAAGTGGCAGATTCTAAGGTAACGCGGAAAAAAACTGACGAACACTGTAGCAAATAGGACCTCCTCTGTGTGGATGCAGTGACTTTTATTCAGAAGTTTTCTATAACGTGTATGGTCAAAAGTGGCTGCTCGCCAGGCTCGACGGCACGCACCTGTAGTGCCAGCTACTTGGGAGGCTGAGGCGGGAGGATCCAATTGAGCCCAGGAGTTCGAGGCTAGGCCGGACAACGCTGGGAGAGTCTATCTCTTTAAACAAACAAAAAAAATTGATTGCTTTCTGTAACAGTGAAAAAAGCAACTTGTAACATTATGTGAAAGTGGAGATTAATCTGGAAAAAAGTCTTCACAGTGGCTGAATCCTGGAAATGAAGTGTGGCAGTGTATAGCATGCAAAAGTGTTCATCACATGGCTTTTCCCGTATGTCCTCCCTCACCCTCCCTGTGGAAGTCATGTCTCACTTGATATCTTTTTTTTTTTTTTTTTGACACAGAGTCTTGCTCTGTGGCCTGGGCTAGAGTGCCGTGGCGTCAGCCTAGCTCACAGCAACCTCAAACTCCTGGTCTCGAGCGATCCTCCTGCCTCAGCCTCCCGGGTAGCTGGGACTACAGGCACGCACCACCATGCCTGGCTAATTTTTTCTATTTTTAGTTGTTTGGCTAATTTCTTTCTATTTATAGTAGAGATGGGTTCTCGCTGTTGCTCAGGCTGGTCTCGAACTCCTGAGCTCAAGTGATCCTCCTGCCTCGGTCTCCCAGAGTGCTAGGATTACAGGCGTGAGCCACTGTACCTGGCCTTCATGTGATATCTTTGCATTAACTTTTCACCTTCCTATTTTTCACTCGTTCCTTTTATCCCTTCTTCCTCCGGGGGGCTTTGTTCCATTGCTTTTGAGGTATATTTCTGAAATTGACAGATGACTACACCATAGGATTCTTGCTCTATATGTTCCACTTTGCTGTAGTTTGGCTTCCAAAATTATATTTAGTCAAATTAGGATTTATTTCTGATTTGAGTAATGTCCAAGTTATTTTTCTATAGCCTTTCTTTTCCTACTTTTGTCTCCCATCCATTGGCTGATACTTCATACTGTACTTTCTGACAGTCTTTTATGTAAAGCGTATTTTGCTTTATTTTGTTTGGAAGAATAACTCTGAGATGCCACCATTTGCAACTTATATTTTTGTTTTATGAGCGATTGGGTTTTCTTTGCTTTGGTTCTATTTATTTATTTGATTTTGTCTTTCGAGTGAGGTACTTTCTTTCATTCTGTTCTTTACTTTCAGGCAGTCATTGCTCTTAATTGCTTGCTTGGATTTCCAGGGCAAATAGACTCCAGACACCATTGTTGACTTCCTAGAGTTCATTGATCCAAATGATTGAAATGATACATCTAAAAATTTTGCTTTTTATGAAATTTTAAGCGTAACAGAAATGTAGAGAGAATTGTCTGATTACTATAGTAATTATATGATTATAACATAATTTATTACCATTCACCTAGAGGGCCGAGTTATTAACCTTAGGTGTAGACAGGGTCAACTTGGGAAGCTTCACGGGGATTGAAAAGGTGCTAATGCAGCAGGGTAGAAAGGGGACTGTCCTAGCTTGTAAGTCCACTCCGAGACTTTTGGGGGTGGGGGATGCTAAAAGGCTATCAAATTATAGGTGCTTTCACATTTTCCTCTTCTGTCTTTATCTCCCTTTCTAGACTGATTTCACTAGGTCAAGGCCATATCTTTGAGCGTTCTAACCTTCAAACCAAATATTAGACTTGATGAAGAACCTACATAACTGTTAAAAGCACGGGCTTCATATCAGGCTTAGCCACTTATATCAGCTCTGACCTGAGCCTCAGTTTACTTATGTGATAAAAGAGAAACCTACTTCTTCTCCCGGAGATGGCCTATGTTGGGAGCTCACCAAACGGTAGCGACTGGTTGTTATTATTGATAATGATAATGTTTGCATTTTAGGTTGGAACTCAGTTTATCCGTGGTGTGTCTGGAGGAGAAAGAAAAAGGACGAGTATAGGAATGGAGCTGATTACTGATCCTTCCATCTTGTTCCTGGATGAGCCCACAACTGGCTTAGACTCGAGCACAGCAAACGCTGTCCTTTTGCTGCTGAAAAGGTAAATGCTGTGGGAACATTATTCTTCATGGACTATCTGATCGCCGCTGTGTACCAGATATTCTTGGTGGAGGGGATTCAGATCAAAACAGTTTCTTCCTTCGTTATTGGAAGGAAACAGTCAATGAACAAATGCTAAGTGTTATCAAGAAAAACCAAACAGGTAAGAGGGTAGGCAGTGATGGCCGTGGTGGGGGTGGGGGTGTTGTTTCATGTAGCAGGATGGTCTGGAGGGACCTCACGGATGTGGGGGTGGGCGAGTGAGACCTGCGTGTCTGGGAGAAGAGTTCTAGTTGGAGGGAACAGCCAGTGGCCCCGAGGCAGGGCATGCCCGATGTGTGTGGAACGTCAAAGAGGCCAGAGGAACTACAGCCCATGAGGGGGAGTGGAGGTTGGCCAGTGTATTAGTATGCTCAGGCTGTCAGCAGGGTTGTTCCTTCTGGGCCCTCTCTTCCTTGGCTTGCAGATCGCTGTCTTCTCCCTGTGTCTTCACTGCCCTTCTCTGTGTGTGTCTGTGTCCTAATCGCCTTTTTATAAGGACACTAGTCAGATTAGGACGTACCCAACGCCGTGTAATCTTAATTACCTCTTTAAAGACTCTGTCTCCAAACATAGGCACATTCTGAGGTTCTGGAGGGCAGGACTTCAACGTATGAATTTTGGGGGGAGACACTTCATTCCACAACAGGACAGGACGTGAGATGGAGGTGGGTTGGTGGCAGATTATATAGGCCACTTGTAGGCCACTGTAAAGACTATGGCTTTTGTTGTCGCTAGGTGATGTGGGAAGCTTTTGGAGAGTTTTATAACAGGAGTGACAGCCGCGGAGAAAGAGGGTGTAAGGGTGGGTGCCAGGAATCCAGTCGGGAGGCCGTTGGTAGCGGCTTGGTTGAGACACAATCGTGCTTGGACTAGGGTGGTGGTGGCAGGTGATGAGAAGTGGGTGGGCTCTAGACCTATTTTGAAAATAGAGCCAACAGGATTAGCTCGTGAATTGGATGTGATTATTGAGAATGAAAAGAAATGGCATTTCCTTTTATCAAGACTGGGAGGAACAGGTTTATGGAAGAAATTTCAAAAGCTAAGTTTTGGACATCTTTAGAATTAATTTTTAAAGAAAGCTCAAACTTAAGAAACGCTACAAGAACAGTACAAAGAAAAGCCCACGTCCCTTCACCCGGATTCCCCAACTGTTACCATTTTACTGCATTTGTTCCTCTTGCTCCCCACTATATAAATTTTTTCTGACACCGTGCCCCATCACCCCTAAATCCTCCAGAGCGTAACCTCCCAGTCAGGAAGTCGGCGGTGATGCTTTCGCCACCATCCGGCGTGTAGACCGCGGTAGACGTCACGGCAACAGTTGCAACAGTTGCTAAGCATGTCATAGTTGACAGTCTACATGAGGAAGAGGTTTTTCTCTGTCCCTGTGTACATACTCATGTTCCTGTTTTGTTCAATGGATTGTAATGTGTTTTTCTTAATTATTGTAGGGATAAAATTAACCCACATTTGGCCAGTAGAAGTCCCTTCATTGTGACTTTTGTGTCCTTTTGACCTGTCCCTAATTATTCTTCAAGCATTTCTTTATTTTACTGTCAATGTGATGTCCCAGGCTCATCTTGTACTTTCCTGTGGCAGCTTTTTCTCCAAGGAGCCCTGGTTCTTTCTGGTGTAGTTAATACGTAGAAACCGAAATCTGGTTTCTTAGTTGGCTCATCACTACTGGAGTGTCATTGCTTCTAGACCCTCTTAGTAGACAGACCTAGGAATTACACACATACGTGTGTGTGTGTGTGTGTGTGTGTGTGTGTGTGTGTAAAATGTATATTTCTATATTTTATTTGGAAATATGTTGAATATAAATGTGTGTTTGTATATATACAAATATATTTTGAACAGAAAGACACATGTAAACATACACCTATAACTATTGCTGTATCTGTCGGTGTATATATAGTAAGAAGCCCATGAGTTCATATTTCTCATTCTTATCTAATACCTCACTGTTCATTTTATTCTTCACTCTTTCCATCTTTGTAAATGACTTTTCAGACAGTGAGACACTTGGCTCCCATTATCTCAGTGTATTTGCTGTCTTGCTCCGTCAGCTGACTCAATTGTTCACCGTAACCAGTCTCCTTTTCGCTCTGGCTACTCCCTCTGTCCTCCTCTGGAACCTCCTCCTCTGCCCCGGGTTTTTAAGTTGCCAGACACGCTCCTCTCCCCGTCACTGCCTCGCTTCCTTTGATGCCTGCGTCCTCGTAAGCAAGTCTCTTTGCTAGGAGAGGAGAAGTGGCAAGATGGGAAGGTGTCTGTGTCTAGGGGTTTAGACCTCCTAGGTTTGAGATGTCAATTGCATAAGAAAGTGAGGATGCCCAGTACTGGGTCTGGAGTTCCCTTTCATTTAGAGAAGACATCCATGACCATTTAATCATCTGCAGCCATCTGAACAATGCTCATTAGAGAGTGATGCATCGATAGGGAACACTGTTAATGTTTGCTCTCTGTTCGATCTGGTTAGCACACAAGCTTCCTTCCTCACTTAGCAGGGCTCTGACTCAGTTCTTCTCAAGCTCCGCTGTGCATTCGAATCCTCTGGGGTCCTGTTAAATGCAGACTCCGTTTGTACAGGTCTGAAGTAGAGCCCGTGATTCTCTGGGGGAGGTTCTCATAGGAGACACTGATACCGATGCCATAGGTCGTCGGGCCACGTTTGAACAGCGGGGCTCGCGCACGACTCCACCCAGCCTGCTTCAAGTCCTTGCCAGCTCCTGCTGCCCACTGAGGGCAGTGTCGGCTTCCGAGTGACATTCGTCATGGGCCCCTTTTGCTGCAGTCTGTTCAGTTTCTTCCCCCGACAGCACCCCCCGCCACACGCATGCACACACCCTCTTGTTCTGTGACACTGAGCACCTTGTAGTTTCCAGAATAAACCTTTTTATTTCACACTTTATTCACCGTATTCCTTCACCTTCAGTACTTTTTCTTGGCTTAATCCTGTTGGGTCTTTTGACACTCTACTGAGATTGTCTTCAGCCTGGGCTGTACGTCTCCCATTTTGCTTACAGAGGAGCCCTTGGCTACTTCTAGTCCACATTGTATTGAAATTACTGACCTGCTGGCCTGCTCCCTCTTTGGGGCAGAACAGATCTTGTATACACTGCTCGCATACAGTAGGTGCTTAGAAAATGTTTAAATTGGAGTGATTCTTCTCATAAAATATTTTTAATAGTGACAGTTTTGAACAGTGATTTTGGCCTTTGTTTCTTCCGCTCCTAAGTAATAACTTGTGTGAAAAGGTGGTTTGCACAGTCTTGACCATGCAATTAGACCAGAGATCAAATCCCAGCCCTGCCCCTCACTGTCACCCCGTGGCCAGTTGCTTATCCATTTAAGCTGTCTCTATAAAATTAAGGTAATAATAATATTGTGAAAATTGAAATGAGGTTATTTCTAAAGTACTTAGCAAAGACATAGTAAGTACTCAGTAATGTTCATTGTATCATTAGGACAGAAGAATGAAAACTGATTTCTAAGGAGCCAGAAGACCTAAGTGATAAATGAGAATGGGGCATATGACTTTTTTTTTTTTTTTTTTTTTAGACCATAGTTAGTTTTCAAACTTGAGTGTATGTATGGATTACCTGGGGTGCTGGTTAAAAACATGGATTCCTGAGCTTCATGCCCAGAGATTCTAATTCAGTGTCTGGGAAGACTGCCCAGGAATCTGCATCTTAAATAAACATTCTAGTTGATTCTATTTTTTTTTTTTTTTTAAGACAGAGTCTCGCTCTATTGTCCAGGCTAGAGTGCCGTGGCATCAGTCTAGCTCATAGCAACCTCAAACTCCTGGGCTCAAGCAGTCCTTCTGCCTCAGCCTCCCCAGTAGCTGGGACTACAGGCATGCACCACCATGCCTGCCTAATTTTTTCTGTATATTTTTAGTTGTCCAGCTAATTTCTTTATATTTTTCTTTTAGTAGAGACGGGGTCTCGCTCTTGCTCAGGCTGGTCTCAAACTCCTGAGCTCAAACAATCCACCCGCCTTGGCCTCCCAGAGTGCTAGGATTACAGGCGTGAGCCACCGCGCCCGGCCTCTAGTTGATTCTAGACTGTCCATGCAACACATTTTGAGAATTCCTTATTCTTTTTAATTTCTTTTTTTTTTTGAGATGGAGTCTCACTCTTTTGCCTGGGCTAGAATGAGTGCCTTGGTGTCAGCCTAGCTCACAGCAGCAACCTAAAACTTCTGGGCTCAAGCGATCCTTCTGCCTCAGCCTTGCAAGTTGCTGGGACTACAGGCATGCACCACCATACCCGGCTAATTTTTTCTATATATTTTTAGTTGTCTGATTAATTTCTTTCTATTTTTAGTAGAGACGGGGTCTCGCTCTTGCTCAGGCTGGTCTCGAACTCCTGAGCTCGAACAATCCACCCGCCTCGGCCTCCCAGAGTGCTAGGATTACAGGCGTGAGCCACCGCGCCCGGCCCCCTTATTCTTTTTAACTAAAAGCATCGAATTTAGGTTCCTAAGCAGCAGGTAGACAATATGAGGTGAAAAGTTAGTAAAAGAAAATCAAGTTGAGCTAGAAGCAAATGATCTAAAGGCAGGAATAAAGTATTTTACCAAGGAGTACAAGTTTCAGATGTTTAATGACTTGTTATTTTCTTGTTTTTAACTTAGGATGTCTAAGCACGGACGAACAATCATCTTCTCCATTCATCAGCCTCGATATTCCATCTTCAAGTTGTTTGATAGCCTCACCTTGTTGGCCTCAGGAAGACTAATGTTCCATGGGCCTGCTCAGGAGGCCCTGGGGTACTTTGCATCAGTGGGTATGGTTGACTGTTCCGTGCAGTAAGGCCCTTCATCAACAGAATCCCGAAGGAGAGCGGAGGGGGTCATCACGAGTGCTGTTCGATCTTTGGGTAGACATGCTATGGGTCCCACCACTCCAAAACGTCTGTGGTCTGTGTGGTGCTGGAATTTTTCTTCATTTGCAGCACAAGCTTGTTAGGTCTCTTTCCTGTCCTATTTGAGTATGTATGCACGTGTGTGTCTGGGTATTTTCACTGGGCTTATATCTGTTCTGCTTCCCAGTTATGGTGGCCTTTCCCTATCAGTTCAATAATTAATATGTTGGACTCATAGCCAGTTATTCCATCAGCTGAACATTTTTGGAAAGGCGTAGTATCATTGTTTTCTTGAACACATAACAGATCAGCCTTTCTCATTTTTTCCCCCTTATGTGTGATGTTGGTCTGCCTTGATGAGGCCTCATGGAGATGCACCTTGCTTTTCTAGTAACATTAGACTGCAGATGGAGGCCTTGAGTGGGAGCCAGTGACCTGTCAGTCAATAGAGTGGCTTGTCCTGTATCTGACTTTGATGGGCCAACATTTGTAAGGATTCTGGACCGCCTGGTTCTTTGTATTTCAGATTGAAATGTGGGATTTTTTTTTTTTTTTAATGGCTGGTGCAGTCTGCTTCATTTTAGAGATACTTGGATATGATAATAGATGATTTTCCATGACCTCAGATATGGCTTGAAATATTCATTAGCTATTTTTCTTTTTCTTTTTTTTTTGAGACAGAGTCTCACTGTGTTGCCCGGGCTAGAGTGCCGTGGCGTCATCCTAGCTCACTGCAACCTCAAACTCATGGGCTCAAGCGATCCTCCTGCCTCAGCCTCCCGAGTAGATGGGACTACAGGCATGCGCCACCATGCCTGGCTAATTTTTTCTATATATTTTTTGTTGTCCAATTAATTTCTTTCTAATTTTAGTAGAGACGGGGTCTCGCTCTTGCTCAGGCTGGTTTCGAACTCCTGAGCTCAAACAATCCTCCCGCTTCAGCCTCCCAGAGAGCTAGGATTACAGGCGTGAGCCACCGCGCCCGGCCAGCTATTTTTCTTAATTCAATTTTGTTTAATCTCTGTCATTTAAAATAATCAAGCATGTATGGATTTGGGGAGTGTAGGGGAGATGAACCTAGGAGTCAAACTTCAGGCCAAGTTGAGTTGGGATTATCGCGCCATAGAAGTGGAGGTAAGAGTTCGGGTGCGCTGTGCTGGTCATGTTCTCTCGAGAATGCTGCTCTGGGGACTTGTTCTCTTTTTGGAATCATGGCAGCGTGACAGTTAATTTGGACGTCTGAATTTAGTATGCGGAGAAGCAGTCATTGCTAATGTTGGTACTGCCAATCTGGCATTCTCTGGGGGAGCTCAGAGAGCACAACGCACCTGGACTTTTAATATTTTTTTCTTGCTCCTGTATTTAGATTTTTGAAGAAATACTACTAAGTACCAGAGCATATTGATAGTTATTTCAGGTCTCATGAATTATGATAGGTTAGGCCCAAGCACTTACAATGTAAGATTTCCTGAGAGTCCAAGGTTTGGGTTTTTTTTTTTTTTTTTTTTGGTCTGGGAAACCAAGAATTGTTGAAATGTTGTGTGACTGAATACACAAGGGAAAGGGTAAATGAGTGTGGGGAGAAGGGAGAAAGGAAATGAGGGAGAAACTGTTAGATCCTGCCTTCTCTAGCCTCAGCTCCCTCGTCCTCTAAAAGTGAGTCCTCTTTATTTTCCAAGACCATCCAATGTGTGCCCATGGGCTGCCTTCTTCCTTAGGTTACCAGTGTGAGCCCTACAATAACCCCGCAGACTTCTTCCTGGACATCATTAACGGAGATTCGACTGCGGTGACATTAAACAGAGAAGAAAACAACCATGACGGTACGTGAATCTGTTAGATTCACAGATTTTTTACCTAATTAGATTGGCTGAAGTTTAGCCATGTGGTGGCTCAAACATGGCTTAGGTAATGCAGTGCTCTGATACCAGTCAACACAAAGATTTTGTTGGCCGTGAGTGCTGTGGGTGTTTTTGATTTAATTTATAAATGAGCATTTATAAACAGGGTCTCGCTCTGATGTCTGGGCTAGAGTGCAGTGGCGTTATCATAACTCACAACAACCCTAAACTCCTGGGCTCAAGTAATCCTCCTGCCTCAGCCTCCCAAGTAGCTGGACTACTGGTGTGTGCCACCACACCTGGCTAATTTTTAAGTTCTTTTGGTAGAGACGGGGTCTGGCTGTGTTGCCCAGGCTGGTCTCAAACTCCTGACCTCAAGCAATCCTCCCACCTCTGCCTCCCAAAGTGCTGGGATTACACGTGTGAGCTACCACACCCAGCCTGATATTATTAATGCTAAGAGGAGTTTTCATTAAAAGAATAAATATGCTCGTTGTTTATATAGCGTTTTTAAAATAATAAATCTGACACTCTATGCGTGTGCACGTAGGAAATAAGGACCAGATTTTTATATTAAAGATTATAACTCCCCAGGATAAGAACTATTTTAAAAGAATCAGGGTCTAAATGGTTAGGAAAACACCAGTGGGTTTGCTGTACCCATAAGACTATGGCAGTAGTGAGGCTAATTTGCTATATTTCTCTTTCGTGTAAAGCGATACAAAGCCAGTAATTTTTTATACTCGAGCTTTAGAATTAAGGTGTTAGGGAAGAATCCAAAAAAGGGTTCATAGAAAAATAAGCCAAATAAGTTGTAACCTTGCTCATAGTGTTTTCCTTCTTTATCCACTTTTATTCTAAAGCCGCAGAGACCATAGAGCTGCCCAAGGGAGAGATGCCACTCATAGAAAAATTAGCTGAGTTTTATGTCAACTCGTCCTTATGTAGAGAAACAAAGGCTGAATTAGATCAACTCTCGGGGACTCAGAAAAGGAAGAAGAGCCCAGCCTTCAAGGACATCACTTATGCCACCTCCTTCTGTCATCAACTCAAATGGGTTTCCAGGCGTTCATTCAAAAACTTACTGGGTAATCCCCAGGCCTCTGTAGCTCAGGTACCAAGACAGCTTCTTTTGAAATACTCACGTGGGGAACTGTTGGTTCTCATATTACCTACTTTAGCATTATGTTTATCTTCTACCTACTCTTCTCTTTATTTGTTATCCATTTGGGACATGGAAACAGTCAACAGAACAAGTAATACAGAATTAAGTAGTCTTTTTTTTTTTTAGAGACACGGTCTAGCTGTGTCACATGGGCTAGAGTACAGTGGCATCATCGTAGCTCACAGCAACCTCAAACTCCTGGGCTCAAGTGATCCTCCTGCCTCAGCTTCCCAAGTAGCTGGGACTACAGGTGCAGGCCACCCATGCCCAGCTAATTTTTCTGTTTTTAGTAGAGACGGCGTCTCACTCTTTCTAAGGTTGGTCTTGAACTCCAGGCCTCAAGCGATCCTCTCGCCTCGGCCTCCTAAAGTGCTAGGATTATAGGTATGAGCCACTACACCTGGCCAGAAAGCTTATTTTTTAGTGGTTTCTTGAACTACCTAAGTCAGAATTTTTGTTGATTTAGACAAGCTGTAATGAATAGTCTTGGTAGAAAAATTTTTTATTTGAAAAATGTAAAGAAAATGTCAGCCATGTTTGGGGTTTTCTGATAGCTGTCCACGTTCATTCACTGACTCATTCAGCATTTTGGGGACATATATATACTAACGAACAAAATGGGCAAAAATAAAAATCTCTGCTGTCGTGGAGCTTATTTTCTTATGAGGACAAACATGATAAATGAATAAAGAAATTAACACATTGACTGCTACACTAGAAAAAAAGATTTTTTCCCCAGGGCCATGGTGTTTTATTAAAACAAAATGATCCTTTCTAAGTTGTTACTTTTGATTGTTTTCTGTGCATGAGTTACACGCAACGAAATCCACATTTTTAGGATTAAATCGTCAACTGTTAATTGAAACAACAAGGACATCAACAAGTAAGATTTTCACGAACCAACTGCAGAGTTTTGCTTCATGAGGCCCTGAGGTCAAAACTAGCCTGAGTTAAATACAACTCACAAGGCAGTCAATGTGTTGAATATACATCAAGTTAGATGGTGGAAGGGACTATGGAGAGAGTTAAAGCAGAGAAGGGATAGAAAAAGGAGTGAGAGGGAGAAGGAGGTGGGGAGAAGAGAGTAGGTTTGCAGTTGAAATCAGGTGGCCGGGGAAACCTCCTAGTGTCCCTGAATACACCTGGGGATGGTATGGGCTGGCCACTGTGCAAGAGAAGAAGAGCCTGTGTGCAAACTGCCGTCCCTTATCACTGATCTTCCTTATTTAGGGCCTCTAATCTTAGGAAAGCAGTAGATACCTCAAAAAGTTTGCACGTTATGCAAAGGTAGTAAACAACCTTGAGTTCCGTAAAACAAGACTAGTCACTGTCAGATTAACTTTCTCTTGATTAAGATGACATAGTGTTCTTTTCTTTTTGGTTGGCTCTGAGGTAGTTATTATTACTCCTTATGGTTTTTCTTTTATTCTTAACCCCTCTGTTGCACAGAACACTGTACTCCCAGTTCATTGGTCCATCCTTTATAAGGAAATCAGTTTAGCTGGTTATTTTTGGGTTGTTATTTTTATTACCAATATTGAGTTTCTGTTGAGTACTAATGGCACACTGTTGGCTCTAATGAAATATTACTGACTTTTTAATTTATGCCCTGTAATTTTTGTATTTAAGTAATAGTGCCTTCTAAATGTATCTGAGAGCCTATATCACTACTTGAGCCATATTGCTAATTGCCCCAGGTGTTTCTGGTACTCATAATTTGGCTTTTCTGTAAGAACATGGGTACTTTTGTACATTTTCAATCAAGGGTCAAGTTTTATTCCTTGAGAGTGGATTTAATGTCATTTGGAAACCAGAGTGATGAGTTAGACCAACGTGGGTTACCTATTGTTCAACAGCGAGATAAGTAATGAGTTGCTTCTTTAGTGTGATTTAAGCATTAGATTTTTCTTCCTTGGAAAATAACTTGAATTTCTCTTGCCTCTAAAAGTGGTTTAGAAGCATCTTGTTCAAGTCTCCCATATCGTAGTTCTGGGCAGGACGTGATTAGAATACAGAGCTATTTCCCATGTACCAGGATTCTGCATGTTTTGGTGCTAGGCTTTAGTCCGATGTGAACACTAGTCCTCGTGCCTCCAGGCCGTATGTTCGGCCTACCTGTGTCATCAGTGAACTTAGTTCCACAAAAGGAGTTCCAACGATGTTCATAGCAGTGACAGGCTCATAGAACAAGGATAGAACCTTGTATCTCCCCGGGCATCTGCTTGCAGGGCAAGTTTTGTTCAGATTTGTAAATATTGGAATGTTAGCTTAGGGCAGGAGTAGGCAAACCATCTCTTTGTAAAAGACCAGATAATAAATATTTTAGGCTTTGCAGGTTATGTGGTCTTTGTCTCAGGTAGTCAACTCTGCCATTTGAGCTTGAAAGCACCCATAGCTAATACAGAAACAAATGAACTTGGCATTATTCCAATAAAACATTGTTCATTGCACTGAAATTTGAATTTCATATAAATTGTATATTTCAAGAAACATGAATCTTCTTGGCTTTTGTTTTTCAACCATTAAAAACTGTAAAAAACCATTCTTAGCTCACAGACTGAACAAAAATAGGTGGCTGGCCCTGTTATAGCCTGAGAGCCATAGCTATTGACTCCTGGCTTAGGGTTTTTAATCTTGCATGTTGTTTCACTTCTAATTTTTTTTGTTTCTTTGCATCAAAAGAGAATACGTCTCTAAGTTTTTGAACATGGGGTTGTTAAAAAGTCTTAATGGCTTTCTGCTGATAAATCTCTTGTATTTATTGTCCTAGAGCTGTACTTTGGTTTGACATAATTATTTCTCTTTTATGATTCCACTTAGCCTCTGATAATGCATTTAACCGAAGGTTGTATTTAGATGATTTTGGAATGAATGGATTATGTGTGTAAGACGACTTAATGTTCGTTTAATCCATCAAGCATTTCCTAATCAAATCAATCTGGAAGCAGATAGGGTCTGTCTGTTCCATTGTGCAATGCTTAGTTTGCCTATTTGTTTTCTTTTCCTTAACAGAAGAAAGAGTAACATAGACACACCTTATAAAAGCATGTCACGCTTAGGGGATTAATTGTTTTGTCAATATGTTTGAAAGCTGACTTTGAAAATACTTTTAGAACTTTGAAACCTTTAGGAAACATCCTAATCATAATACTCAGTGTTAGTATAAGATATCGAGTCTGAATGCAAAAGAAACAAAGCATGTGGAGTGTCCAGCTTGAAGAGTTTGAACAATACTGTGTGAAAATATAGATTCTTGTAGACACGTGCATGCCTTAATGTCGATGGTGTCATCAGCATTTACTTTGGAAGCTTGATATGTTGAAGTAGAGTATATTCTGAGGGAAATGAAAATACATAAGGGTAATGGGAGTTTCCCCAAATTTCTAACTGAATTTTTAAGTTAAGGACATCTCGTAAGTGAAGCACTTAAATAATATTCTTTCCAGACTAGGGTCTTCACAAACACAGATCATGATCCTGTTTTTCCACGTTGGTTTGCTTCATGCCAAACATGTCCTTGATTAGTTACCGAACATGGCCTTGATTAGGTCTTGATACCAGTGGACTATGATAGTACTAATTTCTTTCTTTTTTTTTTTTTTTTTTAAGAGACAGGGTCTCACTCTGTCGCCCAGGCTGCAGTGGCCCAGTCACAGCCCACAGCAACCTCAAACTCCTGGGCTCAAGCAGTCTTCTGCCTCAGCCTCCTGGGACTACAGGCACGCGCCACCGCGCCTGCCTAATTTTTCTATTTTTTGTAGAGACAGGGTCTCACTATGTTGCCCAGGCTCGTCTTCAACATTTAGGCTCAAGTGATCCTCCCACCTCAGCTTCCCGAAGTGCTAGCATTACTGGCATGAGCCACCATGCCCAGTGAGATTTTTTGTTGTCGTTGTTAGCTTTGAGGGTTTCAAGATACATGGTAGGACATTTTGTTTTCTTTAGATTACCATTTCTTATAATTTTATATTTCATTCATGAATAATTATAAGTAGAATTTCCTAAAATAAATCATGTCGCGATGTAACCCTTAACCCTTTGCTTACTGAAGTGTCTTTAAGAGACTTTTTATTCTACAAACGAGTGATGTTTGTCCATCTCCTTAGGGGCCATGCAAACAGATCGAGTAGGTGAGGGTGGACGAGAAAGGCGAAGCGTCGCAGCTTAGATCTGCAGGGATGGCCGTGGTGACGTGGCTGAGGGTGATAAGAAGCTGTGACAGAGGCTATGTAATGTCAGCTCGCGGAGAGTGCGCAGGGAAAGCTCTGGAATGCTTTGGTGATGGTGACGATGGGCTTTCCAGTGCAGACGTGGCCTCCCCAGAGGTCGGATAGGCAGGTCCCAGCTCACTCCTACTTCCTTACCAAGCAAAATGCCATTGTTAGATTCTTTTTTTTTTTGTATGTGCGCTTTTAAAATTTTATTTGTCTTTATTTGTTTTTAATGTTAAGAGTAAAGATATCCTGTTTTCACCTGAACCTCTTCGAATATAAAACGACGCATGTTCCTGGGCACAAAGGTTAAGAGTTCAGTTCAGGTCAAAACTCTTCACCACTTGGACTTTGCTTTTGTTCCCAAAACGGTGTTGCCAGGACCTCGCGTTGCTCTGCCACACCTGGTGGAGAACTGGGAGGAACCTTAGCTCTTCCAGTAGTTGCTTTGTTGTCCTGCCAGCTTCCCCGAAAACCACAGGTGACTTAATTTTTAACTTCAGAAAGCATTCTAAATAATGTACACTGTTGTATTCTCCCTGGGACGTTTGACCAAGCCATTGCATGCTCACCTCAGTGGAGAGATCTGATTATGTAGCCCTATATATTATAATAATAAATGGTGTGTATAATTTTTTTTACTTTTAATTGAAACTCTTTCCTTTTTTATTTTCTTTTTTCTGTTTGAAAAGATAATTATCACAATCATACTGGGACTGGTCATAGGTGCCATTTACTTTGGGCTAGAAAATGATACTGCTGGAATCCAGAATAGGTGAGTAAATTCAGATCTTGATTTTGAGAAATTGCTGTTACTTTCCTCCAGCTTATAAAAACCCATTAAGAATTTGAATTTAAGACAAGTACAGGGTAAATGTCACTATTTTATTGTGGAGTTGGATGAGTCAGTGACTTGAAAGTGGGATGGAAGAGTTAATTGTTTTACACAAATATATATATGTATGTATGAAGTGGTAAAATATACAGAAAATAAAACTTGCCCTTTTAACCATTTTTAAATGTACAGTTCAGTGGCGTTAAGTTCATTTACATTGGTGTGCAACTATCACCACCATCCAACTCTAGAACTTTTTTCATCTTATCAAATGGAATATCTGTACCCATTAAATAATAACGTCCCATACCCACCTCCCTCAACCCACCTCCTCCAACCCCTGGCGACCACCGTTCTACTTTGTGCCTCTGCATTTGACCACTCTAGGAACCTCATAAAAGTGGAATCATGCAGTATGTATGTCCTTTGGCAACTGGCTTATTTCCCTTTGCATAATGTCTTCATGGTTCTTCCACGTTGTAGCACGTGTTAGATTTTCTTTCCTTTGTAAGGTTAAATAATAGTCCATTGCGTGTACATACCACATTTTGCATTTTGTTTTCCATACATCTGTTGATAGAAACTTGGATCGCTCCCACCTTTTGGCTGTTGTAAATAACACTCACATACCTGTTTGAATCTCTGCTTTTGATTATTTTGGTATATACCCAGAAGTAGAATTGCTGGGTCATACGTTAATTCTGTTAAATTTGAGAAGCCTCTGTACTGTCTTCCACAGCGGCTATGCCATTTTGCATTCTTACCAGCAGTGCACGAGGGTTCCAGTTTCCCCATATCCTCACCAACACTTCTTTCCTTTCCCCCTTTTTAAAAGTAATAGAGATCCATCGGACCTTTGAAAAGTATCTATTCAAGACCTTCATTGACTTTAAAATTGGATTGTTTGCTTTGCCAGTTGAGTTGTAGGAATTCTTTACATTTTAGGGGGGATATTAATCCCTTATCAGTTATATGATTTGCAAATATTTCCCCCCATTCTGTGGGATGTCTTTTCACTGTGTCCTTTGATGCATAAGTGTTTTTAATTTTGATGTAGTCTTTTTTATCTATTTCTTCCTTTGTAGCCTGTGAGCTGATTTCCTTGATGTTTTTGATTTGTTTGACTTGGGGGTGGGGTGTGTGGGTGGGACCCAGCTTTTCCTATTATATGGCCAGCACTTATGTTAGTGTTGTGATCCTTAGCTAGTTTTAGTGATACTTGACCTTTAAAAATCTCATTTTATGATGAGATTCTTTAATGTCTGTGTCATGTTCCGAACACAGGTGCCCAGCTATGTCACAGACCTCAGCGTTCTTATATTTTATGTATTGAAAACCACTCGGTGCCAGGCACTGTGCTCTTGGCCTGACACCCACGTTCTCAGGGTAACTCCCAGTGGCCAGAGTGGGAGGATGGTACTGTGCCCATTTTACCGTTGAGAAAAGTTGAAGAAGAATAGTTGAAGAATGTTAAATCGATTTTGATGTCTGGAGAGGCTTATTATTTTTGAAAGGATAAGCATAGAAGTTGATTCCTCTGTCAAGTAAGATAAATGTTTTTTCTGTATAGGATCAGATAGTGTTGCTCTACAATGAGATTATTGTTATTAAACAGCACCGTACCAGAGTTATGTCATTGTTTATCTTTTCATCTTCCCCGAGGGCTGAGATCTGGATTGTCCCCCAACTTGCTAGTAATTGATGGTTTGTGTCCTGTGTAGATGCTATTTCTTAACCCAGCACAGAATATCTTGCAGGATCTAGAGGCTGTGGACCTTTTATATTGTGCAGCAGGAAATGTTTGGAAAAAATATTGAGAAACCTGTCCTAACTGGAATTCTAAAGACTGGACATCTAGCCATTAAAGTTCTTGGTAGAAAAATCCAGAGAGGAGCTTTAGCTATTTCTGCAAATGTTTTCTGGAGAAATAGGGCATTAATCTTATTTTTTAATTTGCATTTTTGCTAGCATTAAGTTTGCTACCGTTTTTTGTAAGAATTTGGACTGCATGAAAGGAGCCCGTGTGTGGTTTATCTAATCCTTCCTGGGGTGATGAGTGATTGATTCTTTTGATTAGGAAAAAGATGTTTCTGCATCATCTCTGGAACCAGGTTCTCAAAGTTTTGTTCAGGGGTGAATATCAGTACCTCATCATTTGAAACTGCTTGGGAGGCCGGCCATTTAGTTCTTTTCTTTGGGGATGAATTCTCCCAGAGACACAAGAACTCTCTTTGTTCTTTCTCTAACCTGTGTAACTGAGAAACTGGGTTTCAGTCATGTGTAGAATGTGACCTGCTTTGAGTTAATAGTTACCCCTAAAATAAATGGGTTGTGGTGATAGATAAGCAAATTAGTGTATAAGGGAAAAGGTATTTTTTAAAAATAGTGCTCAGATCAGTAATCCCACTTCTGAGTTTTCACCCAAAAGATTTGAAATTAGTTTGTTGAAGAAATATCTGTACCCTCTGTGTTTATTGCAGCTCTGTTCACAATAGCCAAGTTACGGATTCAACCTAAGAGTCTATCAACAGATGAATAGGTAAAGAAAATGTGTATATACACAACATGGAATACTATTTAGCCTTAAAAAGGAAAGAAATTTTGTCATTTGCAACAACATGTGTAGAATTGGGGAACAATATGCTAAGTGAAATAGGCCAAACACAGACAAATACCATGTGATCTCACTCAACGTGGAATCTCAAACAGTCGAACTCCAGAGACAGCAGAGTGGTGGTTATTACTAGAGGCTGGTATTGGGGCCGAATGGGGAGAGGAAGGTCAAAGGGTACAAAACCTCAGTGACACAGGAGAAATGAAGTGTTTGTTTTTGAGATACATGGCACAGTGTGGTGAATACAGTAAATAATAAACATGCATTTCAGAATTACCAAGAGAGTAAATTTTACGTTCTCACCACAAAAAATAAGTATTTGAGGTGATGGATATGACAGTTAGCTCAATTTAATATTTCATATTTATGATTCATAAAGCATAACATCACTTGATACCCCATAAATCTATACAACTATAATTTGTCAGTTTAGAATTTAAAAATCAAAAACCATTCAGACCAATAAGTAGAGATGACAGATGTGAATTACCACCTTGAAAAGAATTAGAATGAGTTAAATCCTTCCACAGCAAAAAAAAAAAAAACTGTATTTAGTATAAAATAAATCATCTTATCATTTAAAAGGAACTTTATTGTCTACTTTTTCCAAATCATTATGAACATTTTTCCTTTTAAGGTAGTTAGGATTGTTCTCTTGGATTTACATTTTTAAAAATGCTTCTCTTGTTTTTATGTCATTTAAGTGATGAGCCTTGGTTTGAACTCACACCCTTGATGTCAGTGACATTGTTTGATTATGACCGGAGGCCCTTCCCTGTGTCAGGGACGTTGGCATGCTTTTATAAAATCCACACTTGTATAGAAATGTAGATTATCTGAACACTTTTGTTTTTAAATCTCAAGTATTTTACTGAGAAGCAGTAATAATTTTCCTTTTTGTACAGGTGCACAGATTAGTGTTTTCTTTAGCAATAACCCTCATTTATTTTCTTTTAGCACTTTGGAAACCACATAGGGGATTGGTTGTCAAGGCTAATGTCAAGGCTGGGCAGATGGTGGTGTGGGCGACATATGTAATACGGTGTTGATTAAGGTTTCCCTTCGCTGTCTTTCATTCTACTTGCCCATGTCTGTCTTTACTCAACTTTAAAACCGAAGTGGTTAATTGAATTTCTTGGCCCGTGCAGGCTTTATTTAGCTTACTGCTTCCCCGTTCATACATTAGGAATGGTACTTGGCATTTCTGTTAGTTAAAATTCAAGATGGTAGTATTTTTATGACCTGTGTATTAGCATGGCCCGCCATAACATAATAGCGTAGACCAAGTGGCTTAAACAACAGAAATTTATTTTCTCTCAGTTCTAGTCTAGAAGTCTGAGACCGGGGAGCCAACAGGGTTGGGTTCTGGGAGGGCCACCTTCTTGCTGTGTCCTTACCTGGCAGAGAGAAAGCGCTGGTGCCCTTCCTCCTTATTAGGGCGGTTCCCATCATGAGCCTCACCCCACACCCCCATGACCTCATCTGAACCTAATTGCCTCCCAAAGGCCCCATCTTCAAATACCCTCACATTGGGCATTGGGCCTCAGCATAGGAATTTGAAGGGGGGGGCAATTCCTTACCCAGCAGCCTAGGACTGTGAATTAAAATGTGTCATAATACGGAGTCCCAGGGGCCATGCTATGGAGACGTAAGAGATGGGGAGAGGACTGATGGGGCTCGTGTCTCCCTCTGTTTTAACCAGAACAGTTTCACTTGTTTTTTCCTTACATGGTATCATTTGTAGGACTTTTGTGAGTTGAAAATCAGTCTAAGGGTGTCAAATTGACTTCGATACTTTTGTTCCCTTTCTCTCACGGCAGAGCTGGGGTTCTCTTCTTCCTGACCACCAACCAGTGTTTCACCAGCGTGTCGGCCGTGGAGCTGTTTGTGGTCGAGAAGAAGCTTTTCATGTGAGTAGGTCTCTGTCGGTCAAGCTGGTCACATCCGGAATTGGGCCAAGGATGGGAATTACCAGTGTTTATCTCAGTTAATTTTTTTCAATAGATATAAATTGTGCACATTTGCTGCATACAACATGATGTTTTGAAAACCCATAGGGGTTATAAATATGAACTGAGAAAAAGCAGCCAGACGTGGGGAGGAAAATCATGAGTGCGTGAGGCCTGACACCGAGGGGAACAGAGTTTCCAGGTTGGGGTGTGGTCGGAAAACCCAAATGCTGTGGTGAAAGCAGGCAAGAAGGGCCTGGAAAGTATCTTTTGTTTTTAGTAAATGCGGGTGACCTTCATAAGAGCAGTTCGAGGGGCTCGGCAGGGGTGAAGTGTGGGCTAAGCAGCGACTTAGATGTAGGGAGGTAACGTGGACAAGGAAGGTGACCAAGCTCAGCCCTTGTCAGACCGGGGAATGGAAGGAGCCAGAAGCCAGCCTTTACCGTAAGGCCAAGCTGCTTTCGATCACTATGTTTTTCAAAGATGGACGAGATTTGTCTGTATCTATAAGCCCAGGAAAGAAATCCTTACAGAAGGAAAGAATGAAGGAGGTGGAAAAGTTTGAAACGGTGGGGAAACGATGTCAGGAAGAGGAAAGATTTGGATTTGATACTTGACAGAGATGTGTGGTTGGAAGGCGTGGTGGTCATTGAGGAATAAGCCTTTTTTTTTTTTTTCGTTTTAACTTGAGAGGAGAAGTAAGATGAGTTCGGTGATCCGAAGCTGCGGTCTGGGGCTTGGAGAATAGCAACGCCACTTTCTTCCTACTCAGACGTGGGGGAAAAGGAACCCCCGTGACTACTGAGATGAGTCACTGAACTGCTGTTTTCTTCAGAGACAGCCAGTGTCAGAGGAAGGGAAAGAAGCATTCTCTGCAGAGAGACAGGGTGTGCAGAACCTGTTGGCCCAGAGTGGGTGTTTGGGGGCCAGAAGGAGCGGCAATAAGAGGGAGTTCTGTGATGAGAAGGGGGTCACAGCACAGAGCTTCGTGGGGCTGATGGCCCAGAGAGGCTGGCACCTGAGATGGTGAAGGGCGGGGTGGGGTTAGCCTCGGGGATGTGGGACACTGTCGTATTAGACCCCTGGTGGCAGCAGAAGTCTATATAGTAAGCAGTCTAATCTTCCAGTCTGTGCCTTGTAAACTAATCTGGGATGTACGACATGTATTTTTGATCTATAGACATGAATATATCAGTGGATACTACAGAGTGTCATCTTATTTCTTCGGAAAACTGTTATCTGATTTACTACCCATGAGGATGTTACCGAGTATTATATTTACCTGTGTAACATACTTCATGTTAGGTAAGTAACAAGACAAAAAGGATGTGTCTTTAGTCTTGCCTCTGAAGTGAAACAGATGTCTCCTTGCAAGCATGGTTTTGGTTCTAAAAACTGTAAACCAAAGGCTGGACACACACCTGTGATCCTAGCACTTCTGAGAAGCTGAGGTGGGAGGATCACTTGAGTCCAGAAGTTTGAGACAAGCCTGAGCAACATAGTAAGACCCCATCTCTACAAAAAAAATAGAAAAATTAGCCAGCCGGGCATAGTGGCCTGTATTTTCACCTACTCGGGAGGCAGAGGCAGGAGGATTGCTTGAGCCCAGGAGTTTGAGGTTGCTGTGAGCTAGGATGACGCTACTGCACTCTAGCACGGGCAATAGAGTGAGACCTTGTCTAAAAAAAAAAAAACAAACCCAAACAAACTACAAACCAACCCATGAGATAAGGAATCACCTATCCATTGTGTATTCTCTGAAACAGCTGTTCACTGTGGACATTTTTGTCAAGATTTTTTTCCAACTGAACTTCTAAAACTATTTATAAAACTGTATTTTACTGAGAGATGCTGTTTGTCATACACAAACATGAGAAGACTTTATAAAACTTTGAGAGTATGCTGGAGGAGCTGGGATATTTTACTGCCTGTCTATATTTTCATTTATCTGTCTCTATGATATTTAGAGGTATATAGAGAGACAAAAAATATGTATGTATTCCCTACTCCCCATTCTTTAATGAGAGAAAAAGACGGTGACTTTGGGGGCTTATTGATTTAATAAAAATACACGTTTGATAGCTATAGAGAGTCATTTGTGTATTATGCTCAGGTTTTTATGTGCCATCCCCCCCCACCCCTCGAAAATAATCCATTTTTGACGAAGCACTGCACAATAAGAACCACTGATTGAGCTCAAACCTTCCATTTTACAAATAATAGGTGTGTAAACAATCAGGCACAGGATCTAGGTCCTTCTGATTGGTGTTCTTGTGGCTGTTTCCAGATCGTATGACCCATAGTATTAGCTCATGATGGTTTAGAAAGGAGCTTTATGAAACCTAATTTAGCTTTGCTCTCAATACAGAGTCACGTGGTGATTTGTCTAGGGAGAATTGGGTGCTGGAGGCACCCTCCTCCTCCCCCAGATAGTAAAACCACTGTGAGGCCACGTCACCCCGATCATCCCCGTGTCTTCACTCATGCAGTTACGGCACACGGTGAAATGCACGTGCTGTTGATCAGTTTCCTGTGAGAAGAGAAGGCACTAGAATTTTGGCCAGCTGTATTGCCTGTAGCTCCCCATGTTGGGAACTCAGAAATTGTTCATAATTATACATGAAAGCGTATAGGTGTTATATGGAAAAGTGCTTACGCGTTGGGTGTAAAAAAGAAGACCACAGCATAACTTTATGTAGTTACATGGAGGGAAACATCGAATTTGATGATTCAGGATAGTTGGATAGTGGATGACTTTTTTTTTCATTCTAATATTAGTTTCTTAATATTATAGTGTTATTTGCACAATAAATAACCCCCAAAACATGGTAACCTAGGCAGTTGGATTAACCCCTTTTTTTCTTTCTAAGGATTGAAGTCAGAGGCGGGTGCCTTCTTTATCATGATGTTTACCCTTATTCTGGTGGCCTATGCGGCCAGTTCCATGGCGCTGGCCGTAGCAGCGGGTCAGAGTGTGGTCGCCCTAGCGACGCTTCTCGTGACCATCTGTTTTGTGTTTATGATGGTGAGTATGAACTGTACAAACTGTGCTACTCTGAGAAGGAACCTTTCCCCCTTTGTTTCTTCGTTTACATTCACCTGTCATGTAAAATCTGCTTTGAGGATTCTGTAAACAGGACTTTGCTTTAAGGATGCCATATATTGAAATACAGCTTATATTAAAGAATATACCAGCTTTCCTCTTTGCCCTTATGCAACCTTTTTTGCTACTGTTCTAATGAAGTTACTGTAACTTTAGTTAACATGTCATTACTGAAGTGTTTTTTGTTGTTGTTTTTTTTTTTAATTTTTTTTTTTAGAGATGCGGTCTTGCTGTGTTGCCCAGGCTGGCCTCAAACTCCTGGGCTCAAGCAATCCTTCTGCCTCAGCCTCCCAAGTAGCTGGGACCACAGGGACAGGCCACTGTGCCTGGCTTAATGAGGTTTTTTTTTTTTTTTTTTTTTTGAGACAGAGTCTCACTGTGTTGCCCCGGCTAGAGTGCCG